CCATACAAAAATTTTGACTCCAAGTTGAGCACATAACATCTAATTAGTAAACAAATAAATAATTATAAATAACTAACATGGCAAAGTAACTCCGCCTGGAGTCCCTCCGGAGGCTACTGCCGGTCCCAAGCTCGGATAAAGGAGGGTTGGGCATGGGGTTAGCCACCCCATCCCGTAGAAAACTAACTCACTAAAAAAACGCCAATCAGAAAAAATTATTCAAACCATTTAAACTCTGCCCTGGGAGTCAGAAAGTCTTCGTTTAGAAGATTTATGACGCCTCATGATGAAAGCCGAGTTTCTTTGGAAGTCACGAGGCCGATGCCCGTCCTGACAACCAGAGCAACCATTTATTTAGGTACATGGAATGCTCGTACAATGTGGGGGACTGGGAGAGTCTTCTAAATTGCTGCAGAAATGAGGAGATACAATTTAGAGGTGCTTAGGATCAGTGAAACACATTGGACGCAAGTTGAACAACAACGACTAGCTGCTGTTACACGCCGGACATGAAGAAGAAAGCGCCCCACATACACAAGGAGTTGCATTGATGCTGTCCAAACAAGCACAAAATGCACTTATAGGATTGGAATCTCATGGAGCAAGGATCATCAAAGCCTCCTTCAAAACACAGAAAAAGGGCATTACAATGAACGTCATCCAATGCTACGCGCCTACCAATGACTACAATGAAGACGCTAAAGATCAATTCTACGATAGGCTGCAGTCAATCGTCCAGAAGTGCCCAACAAAGGACCTGACGATTCTGATGGGTGACCTAAATGCCAAGGTTGAAATTGACAACACCGGATATGAAGAGATCATGGGACGACACGGACTGGGAGAAAGGAACGAAAATAGTGAGAGATTTGCAAACCTATGTGCCGTCAATAAACTGGTCATAGGCGGCACTATATTCCCACATAAACGCATACACAAAACCACATGGACTTTACCGGATCATACCACACAGAACCAAATCGACCATATCTGCATCAACAAAAAGTTCAGGAGGACGATGGAGGATGTGAGAACAAAGAGAGGAGCTGATATAGCATCAGATCATCACTTGCTGGTCGCCAAGATGAAATTGAAACTCAAGAGGCACTGGACAACGGGGAGGACAATATCACAAAAATTTAATACGGCTCTTCTTCGGGATAATGACAAACTCAATAAATTCAAGATAACCCTCAGCAATAAGTTCCAAGCCTTTCATGATCTACTCAATGGAGAAGAAACTACTATGGAGAGCAACTGGAAAGAGATAAAAGAGGCAATCACTTCAACATGTCGTGAGGTTCTGGGTCACAAGAAGCACCATCACAAGGATTGGATCACGGTCGATACACTGGATAAGATTCAAGAAAGGAGGAACAAGAAGACAGCAATCAATACCAGACGAAAAAGAGCAGAAAAAGTCGAGGCACAAGCTGAATACACAGAAGTAAACAAGCATGTGAAGAGGAGGATCAGAACGGACAAACGTAGATATGTGGAAGATTTAGCAATGACGGCGGTAAAGGCTGCAAGGGAAGGAAACATGAGACAACTATATGACACAACAGAGAAACTCTGGAAATCACCGTAAACCAGAACGACCAATGAAAAGCAAGGAAGGCAAGATAATCACCAACATTGAAGAACAACCAAACAGGTGGGTAGAACACTTCAAAGAACTCTTGAATCGACCAGCTCAACTGAACCCACCCAACATCGAAGCAGCACTCACAGACCTCCCAATCAATGTTGGCCCACCAACAATTGAAGAAATCAGCATGGCCATCAGACAAATCAAGTGTGGCAAAGCAGCAGGACCAGACAACATTTCAGCAGAGGCACTGAAAGCAGACGTAGCGGTACCTGCAAGGATACTCCACATTTTCTTCAATAAGATTTGGGATGAGGAACAAGTACTAAAAGACTGGAAAGAAGGACTTCTGGTCAAAATACCAAAGAAAGGCGATCACAGCAACTGTGATAACTACAGGGGAATCACTCTTCTCTTAATACCAGGAAAAGTCTTCAACAGGGTATTGCTAAACAGGATGAAGGAGCCCAACTTCGCGACCAACAGGCAGGATTCCTTAAGGATAGATCGTGTACAGACCAAATCGCAACACGACCACGTGTATACAGCCTCTGCCAGGAAAGTCCTACTCACTGCCTTCTCGTGGCGGGGGTGTTGTTTACGAAAATGAGAGGACGAAAAGCGAATGTCCGGCGCTTTAACCGGATCGCAAACCAATGGTGCACGTGGGCTCCAGTATCCTGCGGGAACAAATGGCGTATGAACCAATCGTTGGTCAACGGCTACCATGGGACTGCATCTCCTTACGATGCTCCACTGCCTTGTGGGTCAGACGTTCAGGTCAAAGGCTCAAAGCTTGGCCCCCTAAGAAAACCACCTGTTTCGGTCTGGGCACCCGGGCAGTATCTCAGCCCACACACAAAAACATGATGAACTATCTAATTATGGAAAATATTCTCTTCGCTCCGATCAACAATGAAATGATTCGCATTATTATTATTATTATTATTATTATTATTATTATTATTTTTTACTACGTCATTAATTCACCCTGTTTTATCCCTACTCTGTCTATCCTTATTTTTCGACTTATACAGCAGCTCGCCTATGGTGGAAATTCGGCTCTATCTAAACGTTCTCGAGTAACTGCCTGGTTGGAAATTGTATGCTACCACCAAATACGAGTACTGAAACAGTTTTTCTAAAACCATTCAAACTGGCTGCCTTTAACGTTCGCACACTTATGCAAGTTGGAAAGTCTTAATATTGACGTTTGTTGTCTATCCCAGACCCGTATTCAAGACTCTGGTGAAGTACTACAAGTTCGCTCTCCATCTGTCGCTTCAAAAAGCTTGTTTTACGTGCGTTTATCCGGCGACCCTGTGGCATCTTCGTCTAGTCTTGCTGGCGTTGGTGTCGCACTAAGCGCTAGAGCTGTGGTAGCACTAATCGATTGGATCCCCATTAACAGTCGGTTATGTGCTGTTAGATTAGAAAGTTCCATCAAAGTGAAAAGAAATCGGCATGAAAAACGATGTCTTTTCGTCATCTCCGCCTATGCCTCGACAGATTTCAGCCCGGATGCAATCAAGGATGAATTCTACCACCAGTTATCTGTTTTTCTCCAGAAAGTGCGTTCGACAGATATTGTAGTACTAGCTGGAGACTTGAATGTTCAGGTCGGACGTCTAGGCACAGAAGAGAGTCGTTTAGGTGGCCGATGGGGACCTATTGGTCGCAGGACAGATAACGTAGACCGTCTACTGCAACTGTGCACAAACCACAACCTGTTTCTGGCTAGCACTAACTTTCGGCACAGTCATCGCCGATGTGCCACCTGGCGTCCTCCTTCTGCATCTCAAGCCTGGACTCAGATTGATCACATCGCGATCAGCTACCGCTGGCGTGGTTGTGTACAAGACTGCCGCTCCTTTTGGGGGACCTATCTGGAATCTGATCATGTCCTGGTCTGCGCCAATCTTACCTTACTTTTCAGTGGACAACGAAGTGACCGCCACCAAAGGATTGATGTTAGCAAGTTGGCTGCAACTTCTATTGCTATTAAGTATCGAACCAAGCTAGTTTCTAGGCTAGCTACCATTCCATCGAAAAGTATAGATGAGCATTGGTTGCAAATTCATGACGCGATCAAAATGGCGAGTAAAGCCGCTTGCAGCTTTGCGAAACGTCCCGCTTATAAGCACTGGGTTTCTTCTGGTTCCTTACAACTCATCGAAGCCCATCGGTCTACTCCGGGTGACCGTGAGTTTGACCACAAACGAAGGATGTCACGTATTGAAATTGGGCAAAGCTTGTGTAAGAACCGAGAAGCCTGGTACAAATCACCGGGCCCAGATGACTTACCTCCGGCTCTTTTTAAAGATGGTGGTGACTTTCTGACTAAGGGACTGACGACGTTGTTTACAAAGGTCTGGGAACTAAAAAGTGTACCAACGTCATGGAATGAGTCGATAGTTTTCCCTATCTTTAAAAAGGGTTCACGTCGTTCCTGTAACAACTATCGGGAGATAAGTCTACTTCCGATTGCGTCCAAGCTATTGGCTTCCGTCATACTTCGTAGGTTGTTCAAAGCTCGAGAAAGATTGACTCGCGAGGAGCAGGCTGGGTTTCGTTCTGGTCGAGGATGTATTGATCATATCTTCACCCTACGCCATACTTATTAAAGGCCAACAATAGTAGTGTTTCTTGATATGAGGGCTGCCTTCGATTCGTTGGATAGGACTGTTCTCTGGGATTGTCTATTGAAGAAGAGTGTGCCTGAGAGGTCTATTAACATCCTAAAAGCCCTATACACAAACACCTCAGGCAGAATGAGGGCATACAACCACCTTTCTCCACTATTCCATTCAAGCAGTGCAGTTAGGCAGGGTTGCCCAATCTCACCATTCCTCTTCAACTTTGCCAGCGATGACATTCTGGAAACAGCTCTGACGGATGTAAGTAATGGTGGTGTGGATCTGTTGCCTGGAGAAAGACTTCTCGACCTTGAGTAGGCGGATGATATTGTCTTACTGTGCGAGAAGGCCCAGGCCATGCAATCGACACTTAATCAGTTGGTAATCAGTGTCCGTAGGTATGGTATGTGCTTCGCACCTTCGAAGTGCAAAGTACTTGTACAAGACTGGCAGGATTCTAATCCTGTACTCACTCTGGATGGTGAGCAGATAGATACAGTCGAGAAGTTCGTGTATCTGGGTAGCTGTATAAGTGCTGGTGGTGGCGTGAGTGATGAGATCAATACACGTATAGTGAAAGCCAGAGCGGCTTATGCCAATCTGGGCCACCTTTGCCGCCTTCGCAATATCAGTCTGGCTGTAAAAGGTCGGATCTACAACGCGTCGGTGAGCCCTTTTTCGCTGTATGCTTGTGAAACCTGACAACTCCGAGTTGAGGATGTTAGACGACTCTCTGTGTTCGATCATCGCTGTCTCCGAAGGATTGCTGACATCCAGTGGCAACACCATGTTAGTAATGCAGAGATTCGGCATCGAGTGTTCGGTCACAGAGACGATAATGCAATTGGTGTCACCATCTTGAAACACCGACTTCGGTGGTTTGGACATGTTCTACGAATGTCGTCCCAGAGAATTCCTCGTCGTGCATTAGTTGCCGACTCTGGGACTGGTTGGAAAAAGCGGAGAGGTGGTCAGTATATGACATGGTGTCGTGGTATGAAAGGAAGCTGCAAAGGGCTAGCTTCTGTTGGTCCTTCACGACTCCCTGGCTGGGGTCCGAGAGGTGGTGTAACACAGTGGCTAGAAACGTTATCAGATGTGGCTCAGAATAGAAGCCAGTGGCGATCCTGCCGTAACCTTCTTTTACTTTCTTCGCAAAAAGCGGTTGCCCCTTCCTTAACTGAAAGATTTCTTCTGATTGTACCTTTTCGTTTCCCCCATTATTACTACTATTACATTACCTTACACTGATCCGGTCGTTATTGTTCTCTTTTTTTTATACTTCCCTACGTTCCTTACTTTTTTTCACTTCTCTTTAAATTCTGATTTTGTGTGGCGCATATATATTTGGTGGCCTCTTGTGCCAATATTTATGTGTTCAAATAAATAAATAAATAAATAATAAACTACGGATCATTATGAAACAATCAATTGGATGGAATTTATCACTCTTTATCAACTTCATTGACTACGAAAAAGCATTTGACAGCGTGGACAGAAAAACACTATTGAAGCTTCTTCGACACTACGGCGTGCCTCAGAAGATAGTCAATATCATACAGAATTCCTATGATGGATTAAACTGCGAAATCGTTCATGGAGGACAGTTGACAAAGTCATTCGAAGTAAAAACCGGTGTCAGGCAAAGTTGCTTACTCTCGCCCTTTCTCTTTCTCCTGGTGATCGACTGGATCATCAAGACGTCAACATCTGAAGGGAAGCACGGGATACAGTGGACATCTAGGATGCAGTTGGATGATCTAGACTTCGCAACTTGATCTGGCTCTTCTATCGCAAACGCAACAACAAATGCAGGAGAAGACGACCAGCGTAACAGCAGCCTCAGCAGCACTAGGTTTCAATATACACAAAGGGAAAAGCAAGATTCTTCGATACAACACAGCATGTAACAATCCAATCACAATTGACGGAGATTTGGAAGATGTACAAACCTTTACATATTTGGGCAGCATCATTGATGAACACGGTGGATCTGATGCACATATGAATGCGCGGATCGGCAAAGCAAGAACAGCATATTTACAACTGAAGATCATCTGGAACTTAAAACAACTGTCAACCAATACCAAGGTCAGAATTTTCAACACAAATGACAAGACAGTTCTGCTGTATGGGATGGAAACCCGGAGAACTTCGAAAGCCATCATCCAGAAGATACAGGTGTTTATTAACAGTTGTCTACGCAAAATACTTCGGATCCGTTGGCCAGACACTATTAGCAACAACCTGCTGTGGGAGAGAACAAGTCAGATCCCAGTGGAGGAAGAAATCAGGAAGAAGCGCTGGAAGTGGATAGGACACATATTGAGGAAAGCACCGAACTGCGTCACAAGACAAGCCCTCACATGGAATCCTGAAGGCCGAAGGAGGAGAGGAAGACCAAAGAACACATTACGCCGAGAAATCGAGCTAGACATGAGAAAAATGAACAAAAATTGGATGGAACTAGAAAAGAAGTCCCAGGACATAGTGGGTTGGAGAATGCTGTTCGGCGACCTATGCTCCATTAGCAGTAAAAGGCGTAAGTTAGTAAGTAAGTAACATGGCAAAGTATGTTAACATAAAACAGATGAAATTTAGCTAACAGTGCAATCCGAGAATGATCAGATTTCAGTCAAAAATTGCAACAACGGGATAATAAAAACCGTTTTAAATTGAAAGTATGCTAGTATATTGAGGTTAACCAGTCAACAAACCAGTCGATCAAGACAAACTATCAATTTATAGTAAATTGGTATATTTAACTAATGTATACGCCAAATTTGAATACTAGATACTCCAAGAGTAGCTCACCTTTCGTCATTATATATAATTACGCTTCATTCTATGTCAATGAACTATGCAATATAAATGGAATGAAAAATCTAGGAATACCAATGAACAGGAAAATAATTCACTTTCTTTTGATTGAATAAAGTAACCCAGTCGGTTTTTACATGAGTTATATAGAAGGAACATAATTCAGTTACTGATTGATACTACAGTAGTTTTACGAGTACATTGTCTACGATAATACAAAAATGTTCGTGAAATCTTTATACCACTTATTATAAAAAGAATAGATTAACCGCTATGAGTAAGTAAAAGTTATAAGTTCAAATTACAGAATCTTAAGTGAAAGACTAAACCTTAAATGACTGCAAAGACCAAAACGAAAGATACCTTGGTGAGGCTTATATTAAACAATGTTATTATTTAAGCCAGTCACATCGGGTTGATTGACTGGTCGACTAGAAATCGAAACAAATTACTTTTTATCGTGAACTGAGAACTCGCGAAAATAGAATTATATGCAAAATGTTAAGTTCCAGATTATAATAAATAGTAAAAGATTAATTATCCTGAGATTTCGTCATGTCATCCCCTAGTAAATTTGTCTCCTCATCAATACACTAACTAACCAGAATAGAAAACATACAAATGTATAACAAAACAAATCTAAATTCTCTGGATATTAACTGACCTACATTAAAAGGGCTATAAAAGATAACAACCTGTTTTCTTACCCAATTTTTGACGCATAATAATTTCGGACCTATCAATTTCCCATCCATCAAATTCCATACTTCCGATAGAATCACTACAAGCACTTAATCTTTCTGAATTGTTTATATGACATGGATTAAATGGTCTGGGCACATGTGAAACGGGATTTATATGAGTTAAAGGGAAGTTAGATATTTCAGCATTTGATTGATGAACAATGGGATTGACTTCAAATTGATTTTGACCAGGTATTCTTGAACTGGGTAATGTTTGAGGGACAGACGAGTAGCAAGATTGTTGCATGGGTTGATTTAAAAATTGTGGTTTCGGTACTGAATAAAGAAGTGGGCAAACCAAACCATCAGCAGAACGAGAATGGTGCTCAATTAGTTGAACGACGGTCGGAAATCGATGAGCTTCCGTTATATAGAACTAAAATTAAAAGAAATGTTTCAAAAATACTTGGCGATATGAATCTGGATGGTATTAAAAGCTGTTTTTCTTATTACTGAGTAATGAGTTCAATGGTTAGATGCTGCTCTTAATGATATCTCTCATATATCAAGATCTTATAAAACTCGAAATCATTTACACTACGATTTTATCGAATCCCGAGAATATCTGCTGAATTAAGGATATAAGTTTGAAGGATGTTACGTTGAACCGATGGTTAGAGACCTTGAATGACATGACTCAAAATCGTTTGCAATGGCGCAGGTGCATCCACTCTTTGTGTTCTCTCAAACTCTAATCTTCTGAATTCTTCATGTCCTTTATTTTCTTTCCAAATATATTCCACTGGATTATACTCCTTAAATAACATCATCAAACCCTAATGTTCCTTATCACTACTTATATTCTCACTACCTCTACCACTAAGGGATTTGAATCGATAACTGAATCTCTGTGCTAATGTGGTATGGCGAATCGGACTGATGTACGTACGTACGAAGTTCCACGTTTTTACTGACTGACTGACGTTGGAAAATCCCTCCTCCGAAATAATCAACGAGAGTTCGCAACTTGAGGTGATTTTTTAACCGTGAAATATAATCAGTTGATGAAAACAGTCACAAAGAAAACTGCTCTATTCCGGAAAAAACACCTCGTTAATAGTAGAGAAAAAATACTCACACGCATATTTTAACGTGTGACTCTCAAAGATAAAGAAGTCACTAGTAAGGAAATACAAACAATTAATGTATAACCCGAATAAAATAAGAAGCTGGTGACACCGTTTCAAAATACCGGGTTTCGGTGGTTCAGATATGTGTTAAGAATGTCATCCCAGAGAATTCAATATCAAACATTCTTTTCCAACAGTAGGATTGGGTAGAAAAGGTGGAGAGGTGATTAAATTATGACATAATGTCGAGGCATGAAAGAAAGCTGTATTGGACTGGAATCTACAGTTGGATTCATAGACGTTATTACACATGGTTCAGAATATAAAATAGAGACGTTCCCGCTAATTTTTTTCCTACATTCTTCTCAAAAGTGAAAGAAACTTTTTCGAATGAAAGAATTCTTCCTAATTGCAACTTTTTAACTCCATTTTCTCTCCCACTATATAATACTCTTGTCCACTTATTTTTATTTATTTGTCTGTTTTGATTATACCCCTCTCCTTATTTGCATAGTATATGTTTATTTTGGTGTCCATTCTTTTTTGAAATATAATTGAGAGCTCTAAAGCCGCATCTAGTAGGCCTAAACCTACAACACATTCACATAATGAATAAATAATATTAATTAGTATAATGAAATCTTACAGTAAATTGTCATTATTGTCAAATCAAAATAACTTATAAATATCAGGCCATTTAAACAACTTCAAGTAAAATAAGGTCGGTATCATCGACATCTAATGAGGGAAATTATGCACAAAAGTAGAAAATAACAAAACTGTAAAACATGTCGTACACTTATTGATATATTATTTTTCAATGAAAAATATAAACTACTTACAGAAAAAAAGAAGCAATGGATTTCTTGAAAGATAAAAGGCCTAATGACTAATACAAACTGTAACATACAATGTCGCAATATGTATAATATCGATTATAATCAATTAGTAATGAACACACACACTTAAGTTAGAACATTTTAATCACGAGAAAAATAGTATCTCATTCACATAAAAGTATGACAAATAACTGCCTGTCGAAAAGTTTGTGTGTACAGGCACCAAAAGAAACAATTTCAGGTTAGAAACGAAAATCTCGAACAACAGTTGTCGACAACACAAAATGTAACCTTGTAAATTTTTAACATTGATTTACAATAACTTTAAAAACCAATCTTAAAAATATAAAAATACATAAAGAAGTTTTAATATATACAAATATATATACAAATATATATATATATATATATATATATATACATATATATATATATATATATATACAGAAAAAAAACAACTAATTTATGTATACTGTTAGTCATTTAAAACAGCTGTCAGAAATAGTCTCTTTAAGTCTTGGTAAGCTTCTAAAAATGATAAAATGTGTATTCTTGTACTCTATTTACCTTAAAAACTTATCATATACACATGTATTGGATAAAGCGTAAGGGTGGGGTTATGAAAACACATGCAGTCATATCTCAGTGATGAATTGACATTTACAAAAGTACAGTAGCTCACGTAAATTGGATTGAACTAACTGGAAGAAATCTAAAAAAGACTTACTTTGAGGTCCCTTAATGTAAAGTAGGACACGTGCTACTGACCAATGCTCACTGGTTTTCATTGTTTCTCTAAATGATGGTAGTTTTTTAATCACAATTATTTTAAACTGTATATTCATTTTAATTTATCAACTAACATTTATTTTATTAAAATCATGAACCGATCTAAGTTGAACCGCCATTGAAAACACAGATGAATTGAACAGTCGTTCCGTGCATTGTGGTAAATTGTTTGAAGTTGGATAATAGCACTGTTAGATGAAGA